GTTTGCATAGCAATACACGCAGATATACTTTATTTACCTTATTTAACTTGTTCTCTGTTGAAGAATGTTTTCTGTTTTGCTACATTGTAAATACATCTTTGTACAAATATCAGTGCATACTTAGGTGAGAAATCTGTAAAGGTGGTACATCTGTAAAGTAGATTTCTAGAGATGAAATTTCTCTGTCAAAAGGAACTGCAGAGCCAAGCTAGTTTCAAAGTGTACCTCCAATCTACTATCCCACCAACATTGGTTACTGTTGATACTGTTGTTATTTATATTTTATGTATAAATTTTGTTGTTTGATATATAGTTTATGTACAAGGTTTTTGTGTTTTGTTTTTTTGCTACATGTGGTTTAATTTCCCTTAAATATTTATCTGTTTATAATTGCCAGTTTTCATATTTTTAAATATGTTAACCCAAAGGGAGCATCCCATTGTAAGCTGTAGGAAGTCATTCTAACCAGTGTGGACTTTTTCATTCAACGGCAATAGTATCTTGAATCTGTAGAGATTGTGAGAAGGTATTTAAACTTTCCTCTACCTTTAGACAAATTACACTATTCTCCCTCTCCACCCTCCCCCTAAACACACATTCAATTACAATTTCAAACAAAAATTTTATCAGGCGACTTGTTCATTGCATTTCCTTATATATTCATTCTAAAGGAAAGTGAAGATAATGTTCACATGATCCTAAACAGTTGGTAGCCTTATAAATAAAGAAGTTAGCAGGTAAATGCCAAGAATAGGACATCTAAAAACTTCAGCTCTAGCTTTAGAAATTAGTATTACTGAGATATATCCTTGTTAACAGTATAATAGAAGAGGTTAATTTATGTTCCAATCTTAGTGTAGGATGCTGGGAATAAAGACTATGAAATCTCATCTGCACAGTCTGCTCTTACTTATGTGTGCCAAAATAAGGGGAAATTGTTGTAATTCAGATCTACATATACCTTAATTTTTGTAAAGAGTGAAATAGTGAATACACATGTAGATATTTAGAGTTTGATCTTTCAGTCAGTGAAAGTTACATTCACAAACTCTTAAAAATTTTAACATAATTTTAAAAATGAAACTCTAGCCTTTTAAATATTCCAACTTAGTGATTTTCAGTCTATCAACAATTCTACTATGCTCTTTTTAAACAAATACCTAAAATAAGTTTCCAGTGGTGACAACTTTCTAAAATAATATTAATTAAAACACTCCTAAAATTAAAAACCTAACCTGTGAAATTATTGATAGGAAATAATAATGAAATTTAAGAACCACACAAGACAATTAAAAGTTCTTAAAACCAAATTCTGAAAAATTCTACCCTTTTCACCCTGTACTTACCAGATATTAATATAAACTTTTCAGAATTGTAATTTAAAATATATTGTATTTTACAACAAAGTTTAAAACTAGTTAATGGCAAGCTATGATTACATTATATATTGTTTATTTTATAATCTTATTTATGAATGTTTACCTAGTATGAAATTTTTTCTATATTAAAGGAAGTTTCAATGTGAAACTTTATAACTAACAATTGGTCACTCCTTGCCTTTATGTTATTGAAGTACAGTTGATACACAATGTTACATTAGTTTTAGCTGCACAATACACAGACTGGACAAGTTTATAAATTATACTGTGCTCACTGTAAGTGCAGCCACCACCTGTCACCATACTACCTTATTATAATACCACTGACTATATTCCCTATGCTGTACCTTTTATCCCTGTGACCTACTCATTTCCTAACCGGAAGCCTGAATCTCTTGCTATCTTTCACCTATTTTGCCCATCCCCCCATTCCCCTCCACACTGGTAACCATGAATTTGTTTTCTGTATTTATCAGTCTGTTTCTGCTTTTTGTTTGTTTTTGTTTTTGTTTTAGATTTTCACATATAAGTGAGGTCATGTGGTATTTGTCTTTCTCTAACTTATTTCACTTACCATAATCCCCTACTGCATCTTTAATATCCGTATAACTCAATGTCACCCAACCCATATGCCTGTGAACATACTAAAATCGCTACCCACCACATCCTCATTCACATGGTCTTTATATACATTTATATGCATATATTTTGTGACATAAAGAAACTAGATGAATTTCAACAAGCCATGTAAAAAACTAATCATCTCATTTGAAAGTCCCTTTTTTCTCTCCCAATGGTTTTCTTCACGTTCACTAATATCCAAACCTTGGCATTCTCTTTTAATCTCATGATTTCGAATAAATTTTTTTTTAATATAGAAGACTTCCAGGGGTGCCTGGGTGGCTTAGTTGTTAAGGCTCTACCTTCGGCTCAGGTCATAATCGCAGGGTCCTGGGATCAAGCCCCACATCGAGCTCCCTGCTCAGCGGGAAGCCTGCTTCTCCCTCTCCCACTCCCCCTGCTCCTGTTCCCTCTCTCGTTATCTCTCTCTGTCAAATAAATAAAAAATTAAAAACAACAACAATAAAATGTAGAATACTTCCAAATCTCTATGTCTTGACCTGTTTCCCAGGGTCCAATCCTGTATCTGGAACTGGACATATCCCAAAAGCCCTAAAAACACATAATATCTCAAAGTGGATTATCTTTCTTTGCAAACCTATTTTTCCTCCTATACTTACTTTAAGGGTAACTCAAACTTTGTGGTCACACAGCTTAAAGCTTAGGCTCATCTTTTTCTTTGATCTCCTTACCCCCCTACCTATTCCCCACCCTGATCCAAACCTTTACCAAATTTTAGCTTTTCTATTGCCTTGCCCTGGAAACTCAGCTTTCAAATTCCCTGAAGCCACTTCTCCACTTTAAATCACCTTACCCTGTGTTGCAGCTCTATTATTTTCAGAGCCCTCTGGTCAGTAGTCTGTGGGCAATGGGGCAGAGTGAGGGTTTTATAATTTTGGATTCTTTTGTTTGTTTTTTACTTTTTGGCAAGAGGAGTACTTGAAAATGGGCATTACCATTACATAAAAACATGTATGCCATGATAATGGCTGGGTAAACATTTTCTCTGGCTAAAGAAGCAGCTCCAGATTATTGGTAATGTTTCGTTTTATGTCAATCAGCAGGATTAACAAAAAATATGGATCTTGAAGACATATACATATAGGTTAAATTCCCAATCTCCTTTATTTTACTCTTCTGAAGTAAAATGAGAAATGAGAGTAGTGAAATGAGAATAATAATAAGCTACCTCCATAAGGTTAAGATTAAATAGGGCTCATATATACCTGACTTATGCTCTAAATATTTGCTAAATGAATGAATGATGGTTCCAGAAAACCTCTTCTCCCACATCTCCATCCAGCTAACTTGTATTTTTATACCTCTGTTGCAGCCATCCTGAATTTCCTTCCCTAGAATGATTCCTATGTCCCAGTTCTGTGTTTCTATGGCTCCAGTGCCTGTTTATCACACACTCTGTAATTACTGATGTCCTTGTTAGTCTCTCATTATATTTTGGTAAATTCCTTGAGGATAAGGGTCATGTGTTATTTGACTTTGAATTTGCAAGAATAGGCATGGTTCCTGGCAAACATCATCCACTATTTCAGTAAATGTTGAATGAGTACTTTCTGTGTACATGTAACCAAAGGCCTTGTATGAGAAGCTTTCCTAATTTTATTCCAAATGCAAAGTAACGTACTGGAAAAAAAGAAAAATTTAACAACCAAATATCTACAGTAGGTATTACAACAACAAAAATATTAATTCTGGTTGAACTATACGTAATTTAGGGTGACAAAAATACAGCCTCTCTACATGAAGAAAATAGCTCATTCTCACTAAGCACTTAAGCTGTGCCTAAGTGATCTAGTTATTTAATCCAATCTACCCAACCCCCTTTGTGATAAATTTTCTCTATTATTAACCCTATCCTACAAGATTTGAAAACTGAGCACCAGGGAGATTAGGTAACCCCTATATCACACAAGTAGTGAACTGTGATGTCAGGGTTCCGACATCTTAGGACTTCTGAGCCTCTCTTCTTCCACAGCCTCTACTCTTAATCACACCACACTGACTTCCTAGCAATTGCAAATGCCTCAAAGATGCTTAATGTGGTACCCAGACCGATGACAACTAAGGATGCCTTCCCCCAAAGTATGTGAAACATTAAGAGTCCATTTCCCCCTCAGACCACTAATGGTGTCTTTGAAGACAAGTATATGTACGGCAATGAAACTGCACAGGATTTTCTTCCACATACTTAACAATAAACTATGCTTTCCCCCTAAATAAGTAGTATCTATCTATATATGTATATAAGCTTTGGCTTTCTTCTAATAACACACAAAAAGTTTTCCTATTATGGTCTGAAACCTAGATGCTTAAGAAAAAAGCCATTTCCGGTAAAGCCAGAAAACAGACCAAAAAAAAAAAGGCCGTATTCATAGTCTTGAGGTAAGGAGATCCGAAGAAGAGAGTCCTTGAGCACTCAGGAGTCCCAAGCATGCCGAATTGCTAGAATGTCAATCACTTAGGGAAATACAAGTACCTTAATAGTGACAAATTGGCTTCGGAGTTCCCTTAGAGAGCCTCTAACTCATTTGAGACCAATTACCAATTTAATGCTCTAAGGGACCGCCTTGTGACTTCCAGCTAGCAATCTGGAAGATGTCCAGAACATGAGGAAGAAATCAAAACTTCGTGGAAAATGGAGGCGATGGGCGTGTAACTTTAAACTAGCAAAACTGGTACTCTGGGTTCACCCTATAAAGATTGCCAGATCTTAAATTGCCTCTGAGTATTAACAGTGCGCCACGGCTTTTTTTTTTTGTTTTTCTTCCCACTAGGATATGTGGACTTTGCCTTATTTTATTAATTAACAGATACCTTCTTAGTAGCATGATTCAATGATGGGACATTTTGTTTCCTTGCATTTAAAAATCTCCTCACGGAGAAAAAGTATGCGACAAAGGGCAACAGCTAGCACGTATATTTAGTTCCAAATCTTCCAAGCCGAAGCGGATGTATGAAGTATTACTTAAAAGCATTTATTACCGTCGGTGTGCTGGGTGGTGATGGCCAAAGTGAGGATGTGGTTAATGGAAATTGCGAGATCGCGAGCGGTTGGAGTCACACTACACTCCAGTGCAGCAGTCAGACCACCCGCAAGCCAAAGCTCTCAAAATGGCGGCCGCACGTCAATCTGCCAGAAAGCGCTACCCACTCCGTCGGACACGTCACGTCACCAGGGAAACGGCGCTCTTGCGTAGGGGCGCGGTCCCGGGTGAAAGGGCAGGGCTTGTTTGAGACCCTTCCCCCTCGCCTCGACCGAGGCCCGAGGCGATGCCGGAGCGAGAGGGATTCCCACGACACCTTAGCAAAGGAGTGTGGGCCCACACCTGGAGTGAACGAAGCCCGCCTCTTCCCTACCTCCGCCTCGCCTACCCGGCGGCTGGGGAAGCGCCCCAGGGCGAGCAGTAGCTGAGGGGCAGAGCGAGCCGAGCGCCCGAACCGCCCCCGAGCGAGATCTGGGTTCCACGGCTGTGGCGCCCGCTAGAGTTGACGTTAGCTATGGAAACGCGGAGATGCCTCGGGTGCTATCGCCGTGAGCTGGTTACCTGGCCGCTGGAGCTTCTCAGCCTCTGCGTTCGGGTCGCAGGCAGCCTCCGGGCGGGATCGCCCAACCCGGGTTTACCTGCAAAAATGCGGTTCCCGGGATTCCTTCGCGTCGCCTCTTCCCTCGGGTGACTCGAGGTACGTTCCATCCCCGACACCCACCTGGGGACTTCTTAGGCACCTAATTTCCAAGCCTATGCAGAGGCACATTGTTCTTGCAGTTTTAATTGCCACAGATTTCTTGTTCTTCAAGTGCGATTGTTGCATTTTTTACACGGAAGGTGAACCCAGTGGCAAGAGGAATCAGTCCACTAGGACTTTAATTTTCTTTCAAAAGACTGCTTTAGCTTGTTGAGTTACTGCATTTTGTTTCTAAGAGACACTTGCGGAATGGAGAACCGCCCATTGAGTCTTGATTTAGTGATGTCCTTGTTACCCCAATATAGTGTACAAATTGCGTCCCTTAGATAGTGCTGTACTCTTTCCTTACCTCCAACTAAACCGCGTTTGCCCCAACTTGGTCAATTTCTGACCCCCTGAACACGAGTAACTCTTCCCCGCATCTGCTGCCTCTCTTCACAACTCTGTCAAGGACCAGTGTTTACATCAATGAAATCTACAACATCGGAGGTTATTTATCAGAACTGTGAATTGATAATCTACTCTTTACCAGTCATTCTCTTTTATTCAGCCATACATATGTGTATATATATACACATATATGTATATATATATACACATGTATTTAGTGAATCATTCTTACAACTAGAGCAAAGACCATCCTTTATATTATTGAGTGTCCACTGCCACCCATGCCAAGTCTCCAGACCCTGTCACAACATCCAGAGCCAGACTCATGACCAGATACTGCCATTTTAGTGATTTAACTGGGACACCTGGCAGCCACTCTTAAATTTCCTACTGGTTATTAACAGACAGTACATGGTTGGGGAACTTTTCTGTTTCTTTTTCCTTTGTAAGAACTTTGTTGAAATCTGATTCACATTCCATAGACTTCAGTCATTAAAAGTGGACAATTCAACACCCGAAACTAATATTACACTGTATGTTAAATAACTGGAATTTACATTAATTTTTTTAAATGTATTAAAGATTTTTAAATGTGTAAAGTGGTTTTTAGTATATTCACAGAATTGTGCAAGTATTATTACAGTCAATTTTAGAACATCTCATCGCCCCTTCAAAAAGCCCTGTTTCCTTTAGGAATTACTCCCTCCCATCCCAGCCTTAGGCAAACATTAACTTGTTTCTGTCTTTATAGATTTGCATGTTCTGCACATTTCATATATAGGAAAGCATACAATATGTGGCCTTTTGTGAATGTCTTCCTCTTAGCATTCTGTTTTCAAGGTTCGTCCATGTTGTAGCATAAGTCAGTACTTCATTCTTGTTTATAGCCTAAAAATATTACATCATATGGATATACCACATTTTATGTAATCTGTTGATGGACATTTTGGGTGTTTTCACTTCTTGGCTATAAATATTTCTGCTATGAATGTTTGTGTACAAATTTTTGTGTAGACTTATGTTCTCATTTCTCTTGGGTAAATACCCAGCAATAGAATTAATAAGTCATATGGTAACTCTATGGTTAGCATTTTTAGGAACTGCCAGACTGTTTTTGAAAGCAGCTGCACCATTTTACCTTATAACTTGGGGGTTTGGTTTTCTCCACAATTTCACCAATACTATTTTTTTTTAATTTAATTTTATTTTTTCAGTGTTCCAAGATTGATTGTTCATGCACCACACGCAGTGTTCCATGAAATACATGCCCTCCTTAATACCCACCACCAGGCTCACACATCCCCTCCACTCCCTCCCCTCTAAAACCCTGTCTGTTTCTCAGCCTCCACAGTCTCTCATGGTTCATCTCCCTGACCGATTTCCCCCACTTCCCTTCTCCTTTCCTTCTCCTAATGTCCTCCGTGCTATTTCTTATGTTCCACAAGTAAGTGAAACCATATGGTAATTGACTTTTTCTGCTTGACTTATTTCACTCAGCATAATCTCCTCCAGTCCCCTCCATGTTGGTACAAAAGTTGGGTATTCATCCTTTCTGATGGCTGAGTAATACTCCATTGTGTATATGGACCACATCTTCTTTATCCATTGGTCTTTTGAAGGGCATCTTGGCTCTTTCCACAGTTTGGTGATTATGGACATTGAAATCCATGTGACTGGTTATCAAAAATAGTACTGGTGTGGAGGTTCCTCACCAATACTATTTTTGATAGCCAGTTAAGTGGATTTGAAGTGATATCTTGTTTCACTTTTGGTTTGCATTTCTCAAATGAGTGAGTAATGATGTTGAGCATTGTTTTGTGTGATTATTGGCGATTTGTATGGTATCCTTGGAGAATGCCTACTTTAATCCTTTAAATTGGCTTTTTTTTTCACTATTAAATTGTAAGTGTTCTTTATATATTCTAGATGTAAATCCCTTATCATATATATGATTTACAAAAATGTTTTCCTATTTCGTGTGTTTTCATTTTCTTGATGGTGAGAACCTTTCCTTCTAGACACTTTCCCATTTATGTTTCTTTATCTCTTACTCAGAAGTCATATGTGCCAGTGTCCTCATGCTGGCTTAGCTAACAAAAGTTTCCCATTTGACATTTTGGAGATTCCTCTCAGGCCCACTTTTCCCTGAAAACTCTTTTTCCCAAATTGTCCTTCTATTTCTCTGGCCTCAAAAATGAAATTCCCTTTCATTTGTCAGTAGCTTGGTATGATTTACAAAACTCAGTTAGCTACCAACTGACGTGGTGTGTTAAGTCTCTTAATTTCACTGGTTCTCAGTTTTCTGTAAAGCAAGTTGGGTTTTTTTGGTAATCTGTGTGAATGGTACACTTCATTCACCTGACACTTGACTTTGAAAGAAAAACTTGTTGATTGCTTTGAATTGGTAAAATGTATGCAGAGTGGGAAGGGTAGATTGGGAGAGAAGTGTCAGCAGGGCCTGCTGCACATTTGTGATACACTGATGTGACTTTTGGCTATTTTTTTTTTTTTTAAGATTTTATTTATTTATTTGACGGAGATCTCTGGCAGAGAGGCAGGCAAAGAGAGAGGGGGGAAGCAGGCTCCCCATTGAGCAGAGAGGCCGATGCAGGGCTCGATCCCAGGACCCTGGGATCATGACCTGAGCCGAAGGCAGGGGCCTCAACCCACTGAGTCACCCAGGAGCCCCTTGGCTATTTTCTACCATCTTATTTTTCCAAAAGGAATGGAATGTTAATAATTCATATTCTAGTGTTGTACATTTGAGAAGGGTGAATTATAGAACTGATAACTCATTATTCTATCTGTAAAGCTTTCCCAATATCTGCAATAAATAGATCCTTTGAGCTATCTACTTACCCTTTCCATCCAGTCATAGCTTTCTCTACAAACCAATTCCTGTGAATATACAGAATACTCTTAAATTCAAAGACCCTCCTAAAATCTTGAATTTGAATAAATACCATTTTGTAAATCAAAGGGATATTATTGTGCTTGTTCTTTAAGAGTCTTTAAGTAGATTTTCCTTTTTTTGGTGGGTAGAAGGGATTGCTTACTATATAATTGATAAACTATAACATGAAATATGTTTTTCATGTTTTAGCACTAAATGTCTTTCAAAGGCTCTTCAAGAATTTAGCTGTTTGTCCCTGGTATGGCATTTAGGCAAGATTTATAGAGTGCTTTCTGATTTATAGGGATAGCTATCTTTGCATCTCTAGATTCCTACTGATACCCTCAACAGTTAGCACTTGGCTATCAAAAAAGTCCACAGGTGCTTTCTTGTTAGAACTGATCTAACAGGAATAAGTCATTTTATCCAGGGCAAATAAGAATTAAGTTGTGTCATAGCGTACTTTTTGAGTACTAAGGTGTAAGCCATTTTGTTTCTTTTCCAGACCTGAAGTTTTTTGTTTTCCACATTAGTAAAGGTGTGATACTTAGAAAAGTAGAACTTCAGTATATTTCTTTTCAGATTTTTAAAAATACTTTTTAGGAACGTGGATGAGGATATTCTATATATTACTGACAAGTTTGTGTAGGCATTTTTTAAATAAGCAGGAATTACTTTTTCTTGAGAAGTTAATTTTGTTTAATAATTTTATAGTATTTATAAACTAACTTTGTATATTGTTTATTCTCTTGATAATGAAAATTAAAATAATTCCAGAGTTATTTTTACCAGTAATAATTATTTGAGAGGGAAATGATCTCTATCCCACTGGATTATAAACTTATTTAGATCAGAGGGCGGCCTATTACCATAACCTAGTACATCATAGGTATTCAAAAGTTTAAATGTGTGGAAAGTACTAAATTTTCATTTAGCTTTTTCTCTATGAAAGGAAAGTTAACACATTTGTCTATATTAACAAATGTCAGAATGAACTCTTTAATCCTCAGTGCTTCAAGAGCAAGTTAACATAGGGGGAGAAAAAAAGATTATAACATATGTCAGAGTTAATATCCTTCAAATTTAAAAAGTTCTTTCAAATTAATAAGAGAAGTGAACACTTTAAAAGAAAAAGAGGCAGGGCACTTGGGTGGCTCAGTAGGTTAAGCCTCTGCCTTGGGCTCAGGTCATGGTCTCAG